TGTCCCCCCCTGTGTGTGTCCCCCCCTGTGTGTGTCACCCTTGTGTGTGCCCCCCCCTGTGTGTGTCCCCCCTTGTGTGTGCTTCCCTCTATATATGCTCCCCCTGTGTGTTCCTCCCCCTGTGCGTCCCTCCCCCCATGTGTGCACACAAGTGCAGGGGGGATGACAGCAACAAGAGCATCAGGCACCAATGCTGTTTGGTATGCCATTATCATCCCATGACCCATGCCTTCCCATGCCATCCCATGCCATCATCCCAAGCCATCATCCCATCCCATGCCATCACATGACATGCGTACTTTCTTAGTTCTGCTTCCTATTCCCCCTTCCCCATGCCCACTGCCCAGTTTCCCCTTCCCTTTTTCCCCTTCCCCATTTTCCCTTCCTTCTGACCTTTCTCTTTCCCCCTTCCCCGAATTCGGATTCCTCCTTCCCTTGTCCCCTTCCGCAATTGCCATTTTCCCTTTCTCAATCCCCATTGCGCTTTCCCCTCCGCAGTCCTCCGCAGTTCGCATTCCCCATGTCCCCTTCCCCATCCCCCTACCCCAGCCCCTCTTTCACCAGCTCTGCTGCTCTCGCTACCTCCCCCCACCACGCCCACCACACCCCACCATGCCCCACCACACCACACCCCACCATGCAGATGCAATCCCATTCACGCACTCCACACACCAAGAGCATCCGGTGGTAGCTGCCTTCGCTCCCGGGTGCCCATCATACCTTTCCAATGGTCATTTCCTATGCGCACACGCACACATGCATCCACACACACACACATACACGCACGCACACACACACACACGCACACGCACGCACGCATACGCACACACACACACACACACACACACACGCACACACACACTCACACACTCACTCACTCACAGTCACACACTCAGTCACACACACACACAAAACAGTACAAATCAATGACAACAAAAAAATGCCTATTGATTAAAAAGAAGAGGAAAATACATGTAATTCACCCCTACTCATATTCCCTATGCTCCCCATGATCCATCAAGAACCTCTCTAGTGCATCAACGGTGTAGGTTTCAGCACCAGGGGTCGTTGATGCTTCATGCTCGAAATTCCTTGTGTAGCCTGTCTGGCAGTTGATGTACGACAACCCTCCTGTACCTGTAGCCTGTCCTCCAACCTCCAAACCTCCTCTCGTGACTCCTAAATGTTCTGTAAAGGGGGCAGCATCGACATGATTCTTGAAGTTGTTACAGGCTGTCTTCTGGATGCGAGATGATGGGGAGATGAGGCCCCGAGCAGCAAGAGCAGAGTGTTCCGTGTCTCTCAGGAGCGACAAGTTGGCTGAGGGGTGAGGAAGAGGAAGACTCAAGCCTGAGATGACATGCTGCTGGGCAGAACACAACTGGTCACCACCCGCCTGGTCACCACTCGGCTCGTCGCCACAGGACTGGTCGGCGGCAGCACCAGCATTGTATGCAGGCCTGAAGGCCTTTGTCGCATTCTCTTGCATTACAACATCTTCTTCACTGCTGCCAGCACCGCCAGTCTCGTAGCCATTGATTTCCTTAGAGGCATGATGCTCCAAGGCATCAACACCTCACGTCTCTGTGTGGCTGTATCCATGCAAGGTGGTGGGTGGAGAGGCGGGGGAAAGAAGCACATGGTGCGAGTGCAAGACTGCATCACCAGCACCTGCTGTGGCGACAGCACCTGCTGTGGCAACAGCACCAGAGGCAACACCACCACCACTAGTGGCTGCAGCAGTGCTTGCAGCGGTGGCAGCACCAGCTGTGGCAACAGCACCAGAGGCAACACCATCAGCAGTGCCAGCAGCCGTGGCAGCACCAGCTGTGGCAACAGCACCAGAGGCAACACCACCACCACCGGTGGCTGCAGCGGTGGCAGCACTTGCTCTGACTACAGCATCAGAGGCAATACCACCAGCAGCAGTGCCAGCAGCAGTGCCAGCAGTTGCCCCAGGAGCGATGCCACCACCAGTAGTGATGACAGTAGAGGTCATTGCAGAGGAGGTGAGGGCAGCATGTGTCGTGGGGGGAGTGGACTGACTGCGGAAGAGCAGATGGTGCTGGAAACGAGTGAGCTGCTCCTGGTACTGCTGCAGCAGTTGCAGCTCCTCTTGCTGGTGCATCAACTTCAATTGCTGCTGCTGAATTGAAGAATACCACTGCATTGACTGCTGTTACTGATGCTGCTGCTGCTGCTGCTGCTGCTGCTGCTGCTGCTGCTGCTGCTGCTGCATCTGTTGTTGCTGATGCTGCTGCTGCTGCTGCATCTGTTGTTGCTGATGCTGCTGCTGCTGCTGCTGCTGCATCTGTTGTTGCTGATGATGATGCTGCTGCTGCTACATCTGCTATTGCTGCTGCATCTGCTGTTGCTGCTGCATCTGCTGTTGCTGCTGCATCTGCTGTTGCTGATGCTGCTGCTGTGCCATCTGCATTTCATCCAGCAACAACCTCTGCTGCCCCCCCATCCGCCTCTGCTGAAACACCCCTTCTCTGGGCCTCCTGGCGCGCATCCAAGGCTGCTTCTCTAGTCGTTTGTGCAGCTCCTGCGTGTACTTGCTGGCTGGAATTATTGGCTTGAATGTAGACGCACGCAGCAGTTGCCTACCCAGCTGCCCAGCTCCCATTGGTTCCTGGTCATGGGACTGGGATCGCCTCACCCTGCGCCGAGGGATGGTCGAGATTGGTTTGGGAGAGCAGTCTGGAGAGGATGTCAGCCCAGCCACCCCAGGCGCGGCAGCAATACCAGAAAGACCAGCAACAATAGCAGCACCAGAAACACCAGCAACACCAGCCACACCAGCCATACCATCCACATCAATAACAGGTTTAGCACCATCAGCGTCACCAGCAACACAGGCAGTAGGCGTCACGGCAATATCCACCCCATTCCCACTCCCCACATTGGCAGCCACACCGGCAGAGACATTTACTGGGGTATCCAAGCCATTCCTACTACCCACATTGGCAGCTGCAGCAGCTACACCATCCATTGGGCCAGCAACAACCATACCATCAGCAACATCAGCACCATTTGTACCACTCACACCACTCACACTACCTGTGTTTCCCACACAAGGCTGGGACTTAGGGGCTGAAAATCCGACCACCGGTGGCTCCAGCGGAGAACATACAGTGTGGCTACGGAGCATCAGAGGTACAGGTCCGGATGGAGGTTTGGGATCAGGCTTGGGTTGAGGCTCGGTCCAAGGACTGTAAGGATGGAAATTTATGTTGTCTCTTTCCGAGTCTAGGGTGTGGCTTCCAAACATCTGCTGCTCCCTCCACTCTTCCACGGATAATGCTTCCAAACGTCTAGGGTGTAAAAGGTCGGTCGAAGCACACTGTGCAGCTGCCTTACCTCTATTGCCAGTGCTGAGATTGAGAGAGTTGCGTCTTGGGAAGCTAGATGCATGCAGCTGCTGTTGCTCCCGATGGTGCTGCTCATGCTGGTGTCCCTGCTGTTGTTCCTGTCCCAGCTGCCTCTGCTGCTGCCACTGCTGCTACGGGTTCTGGTGATGCTGCTACTGTTGCTGCTGCTGCTGCTGCGGGTTCTGGTGATGCTGCTGCTGCTGCTGCTGCTGCTGCTGGTGGCTCTTGTGATGTTGACGTACGTCCGGAATCACAACAACTGATGATGTGCGGGTCATGGTAAAAGCACACTGCGCGCTGGGATTATGCCACGCGCTGATGATCTGCGCGCTGGGATCATGCCCTTGAAACGGCCCAAAAGGAGGCATCATGGCATGCGCATACTGCATCGTTTCAGCATGCCAACTTGAAGGCAAGCTTGAAGCTGAACCTGTCATGCAGGGTACCTCCACCTCCTCCTTCGCTTCTTGCAGAAAACTATCCCCACCAGGCGCCATTAATCCCTCGGACACTTCTACACTGAAACCCCATGAAGCGGCTCGTGGCTCGCTTGGGACTGGCAGCCCTGCTGATTGCGGCTTAGCCAATGCTTGCTGCCTTGCCAATGCATCCTCCCCTGTCACTGCGTGCAGCCCCGCTGCCAGTGCTGAGGTTTCTACTGGAGTACGCATCTGCTCCACGCCTAGATGGCCGGATGGTCCTGCTGCTGCCACACCCACCGCCACACCTGCCCCTCAGACCGCTTGACCCTGCTCGCCCCATTCTCCCCGTTGACCTGGCTGGTGCCATTGGGAGGATGATGGATCAGATGGTGCAGTCTGGGCAGTCTGGGCAGTCTGGGCAGATCGTGAGGAACATCCTTGTCGCTGGGCAGCTGGAAGTATCGATCAGGCGGCCCCATTTCCAACGTTAAACGCTCGTCTATTCCCGTCCATGTCTCCATCGCACCCTCTTCCTCCTCGATTGCTCCGCCTTCCTCCATTGCCCGTTCCCCATCTGAAGTCTCTCTGCTTCCACTGCTTTCTTCATCTCAAAGCATCTCCCATTCTTCCACTCCCTCCTTGCCTTCCACTCCCTCCTTGCCTTCCACCCACTCCTTGCTTTTTGCAGCACCAACCCCACTCCCCCCAGCCCCATCGGTTTCGTCAATTTCCCCCAACTGCTGTGCAAACTGCTCTGCAAGTAAAGAGCTCCACTCCCCCTCACCATCTGCCAAACCCTCAAATTCCATCTCAAAATTCATCTCCTCAAACCTGGCCAGATCTGCTCCCAGTGGGTCCAATCCCAAAATCCCCAGTCCAGTTATCATCGCACTAGGCATCTCCGCCAGTAGGGCTGAGTGGCAATTCAGGGTGGGACCAATAAACACTGGGTTGCATTTTGAGGTGTGAGTGGGGAGAGTGGCATGGATATGAACGCCACTGGTGTGTGCAACTTCAGGGACTGAGATATCAACAAAGGTGGATGGGAGGGCAGAGACAGAGGCGGAATTGGCAGAGGTGGAAGGGGCGGAGGAGGAGGAAGGGGCGGCTAAGCTTGAGTCACTACCGCTTACAGTGGAGCTTCTTTCGGGAATGTATACTCCTGCTTTGCTCCCACTATCACTGCCTGCTGACGTTTCTGCTGCTAGTAATGCTTCTCCTCCTCCTCCGCCTCCGCCTCCGCCTCCTCCTCCTCCTCCTCCTCCTCCTCCTCCTCCTCCTCCTCCTCCTCCTCCTCCTCCTCCTCCTCCTCCTCCTCCTCCTCCTTCTCCTCCTCCTCCTCCTCCTCCTCCTCCTCCTCCTCCTCCTCCTCCTCCTCCTCCTTCTCCTCCTCCTCCTCCTCCTCCTCCTCCTCCTCCTCCTCCTCCTCCTCCTTCTCCTCCTCCTCTCCCCCCCTCTCCTGTTCTTCCACTTACTCCTCCCCTCCCACGTCCTCTTCCTCTTCCCCTTCCTCTTCCTCTTCCTCTTCCTCTTCCTCTTCCTCTTCCTCTTTCTCCTCCTCCGCATTCCCCTCCAACCAGTGCAGATGAATCCCTCCCCATGGCCCCTGATCCTGCACGTGCATCGTCTATTGATTATGTCACAGCCCTACTTGATCCCTCTCCAAACGGCCTCCGAGGTGCCGCAAAGCTCGCTGCTACTTCTCTACTTGATCCCTCTCCAAACGGCCTGTGAGGCACCGCAAAGGCCGCTGTTACTTCCCCATGTCTTCCCTCTCTCTGCCTCGTCTGACCCACACCTACTCCCACCAATCCCCCTGCTGCAGATTCTTCACCATATCCTACCTCCTTCCCTTTCCCTCCACAGCTCCTAGCACTACTGCCCTCCGTAACCTGCGTTACTACCCCATGTGATTGCACTAACATGCCAGTCTCTCCATCATCCTGCCCTGCAATCCTTCCTGCTGCTTCCATCCTAGTTGCTGCACCCAATGAGGCAGCATGATCCGAGCCCAGTGCTACTGCCCCTCCCCCTTTCTGAAGATACCGTCCTGGGAAGTTAAGCTTCGCCTTTGCTCCTCGGATTTTCAGAGCAGCTTCATCAAACGCCCTAGCAGCGTCCTCAGCAGAACGGAACGTACCCAACCACTGGCGGACCCCGCTATTGGTATCTTTGATCTCTGCAATGTAACGTAACTCCCCCCGCTTCCGAACTCCCTGGTACCGCCCTGGCTGGTTGTAGTTGCGGCTCTGTGGCAATCTGGTGCGCCTGGTTCCACGCGTTAATGGCTCTAATGACCCCAATGGCCCTGATGGCCCTGCACCAGTGGCAGCCTCATCCTGTTCTAGTGCTTGCGGCAAATGCGGCCGAAGCAGCGGCTGTAGCTGAGAGGAGAGCTGCTGGATCCGGTGTGGTGGTAGCTGCTCTGGCTGAACCTGTAGCTCTGGCTGTGACTGTAGCTGTGGCTGTGGTTGTGGCTGTAGTGACGTCTGCTGCTGTGCCGTCTACTACTGTGCCGTCTGCTGGTGTGACATCTGATGCTGTGACATCTGTTGCTGTGAGATCTGCTGCTGTGAGATCTGATGCTGTGACATTTGCTGCTGTGACATCTGCTGCTGTGACCAGTGCTGCTGTGACATCTGTTGCTGTGACATCTGCTGCTGTGACATCTGCTGCTGTGACATCTCCTGCTGTGACATCTGCTGCTGTGACATCTGATGCTGTGATATCTGTTGCTGTGAGATCTGCTGCTGTGAGATCTGATGCTGTGACATCTGCTGCAGTGACATCTGCTGCTGTGACCAGTGCTGCTGTGACATCTGTCGCTGTGACATCTGCTGCTGTGACATCTCCTGCTGTGACATCTCCTGCTGTGACATCTGCTGCTGTGACATCTGTTGCTGTGACATCTGATGCTGTGACATCTTCTCCGGTTGCATGCCAGCAGTGCAGTTGCTGCTTCTGTTGCATCTACTAGGTGTCCCGGCGGGTTATCACCTATTTTCAGAAGCTCTCCCGGAAAACGGAGGTCTGATGCGGCTCCTACTAGTACTAGTACTACTAGTGAGTCAGAACTGAAGGTCTACCCCCATAAATTCCAAGAAGAGAGAGACTGGATTTATCACGCTGCTGGTCTAATTTCATGGCCAAAACTGAAGGAGATGAATTGGTTAAATCCCCAGTATTTCGCCCAACTGTTGCCACCACGGGGAGCACTCACACTCACGGTGTGCCCTGTGGCTCGAGCGGGATACCGTAATAACTATGAGTCGCCTACTAGTAGTAGTAATACTAACAGAACTCGGACCTTGGTGCAACTGGCTGCTGAACAAACTAGAAAGATTGAATGGATTGCCACTACACAATTTCAGCTTCTGTTGCTCAACCCCAAATGGGCTGGTTTTGTGCTTCTGGTTTACACTGGTGGGGGAGGGGTGGTGGAACAATTTGTGCGGACAGTGGACAAGCGCAAGTGGTCAGCCAATCCCGTCAGTTGAATCCTGTTCTTATCTTCCTCGTCACGGGCACGCATCAGGGTTTCAGATGTGCACCGTCTAGACTTTCCCACCGGTTCAAAACTGTACAGCTCTTTGCCTTCCTGTCCCAGGCACGGTTCAGAGTTTTGATATGTACTCTAATTGATTTTTTAATATTTTTTGTGATGCCATCCGTGCATAATACACTACGGATCTGCAGAGTTTGCTCTGCGCATTTCCTTGTGCGCGTACCTCCAACCACCCACACGTTTTCTTTCTCCCGATCTGCAAGCTGTGTGATATATATTCATTGGATCATCATGTGCGTCACTGAATGCTCATCTTGCTTCACCTGCCCTCGTCCCCGTGCGCGGCTGACTTGTCTTAGCACCTAGCGTTGGAAAAACAGTATGACATGTACTACGATACTTCTTCACGCCCCTGGGTAACCTTCCTCATCAAATTTGATTTCGAAGGTGGTTAGCATCAAGATTCGAGTTCTTGGGATTATAAAGACGCACTCTTTTCGCGTGATTTTCGGAAGTACAAACATATCAGAAGTGATTTCCCACTCAATCCTACTGTAAGTGTGAGTATCGCGAGTCTGGCTTTCTGATTACCGTATTTATTGTTAGACTTGTAATGTCAGGGTGCCCGTAAAGTCGAATAAAAAACCATATAGGGTGTCTGGGCAAAGGAAGCGTACGGGGTTTGGAGGAATGCTCGATCCCCCCAAGTCTCCATTCTCCAGTCCAGGGAAGACCTCGGCCCTGTTCGATAGGCTAACGCTAACGCTCGCAGAATCATCGCGGCTGTTTTGACGTAGGGTTTTTTTCTGCGGTCAGCCCGTAATTTAGTGTAAAGGGGCTTTAACGCTCTGGACTCTGGAGTGTTAGTGTTAGCCTTTCGAACGCTACTTTAGCCCTTCAAGATCATCCCCCCCTAAAGCACGAAGACCCTTCTCACACGCACAGAAGTTAGCCTAGCTCCAGCCCAGCCCTCGCACCCCCAAAATGGAGGTTGGCCAAGGGATAGGCTAGGGTTCCATACGAGAGGGGATACCCACCCCATACCCGACGAAAGTAACGAGAGTGAGTAAGGAAACCCTAGAGTGAGTAACAAGAGGTTGGACTGGTTGGAACTCACTTGCCTTTGCAACTCTTGACGCGTGAGAGATGTGCAGGTTTTTTTTTCTCCCTTGATTTACCCAGGTTCCCGTGGGGAGCGGTGTAATAGTTTGGAGCCTGCCCAACTTAACGCTGGTGGAAGGAGGGGTTGCAACATCGCCGAAACGACCCCCTCCTTCCGATCTCGAGATGGGCAGCTTCCGATCTCGGGGGGAGGGGGTAAGCCCTTGAAAAAAATCTCGGAAGCCTCCTCCAAACGCTAGCCTAACACTAGCGCTGCAATGAGGTGGCTGCCTATCAAACAGGGCCCTCGCCCGAATCCCTCCGCGGACCCCCTTTCGCCCCTGCGGGTTTTCCTCGGAGGGATTTTCGTTTTCCCTCTGTCGCGTGGCGAGGCACGCGAGGGGCGGGAGCCAGCCAACCCGCCCGCCCGAAACGAGCCACGCCAGCTCGGAGTGACGCGAGGTGGTCCTCGCTCGAGCTGGCGTTGACCCCACGCGCTCCCCCCGGTCTGCACCAGCCCCGCCTGCACCAACCCCCCTGTCCGTCAAGTAAATCCGCCTCCGTCGACGGATTCCGTCTCGACCCGACGGAAAGTGGTGCAAAGAAAAGCGCGGCAGAACGCGCCACAGACTAGCTCTATACAGAGCACAGCTGACACTGAAATAAAAGCGTATACCTAAACAAATAAATACATAAACTGCAATGGGCAAACTTGATAAGGAATAGGAGGCACAAAAAAAGGGGGCATTCCCTACAATTCTCACTAATACGTAATCATCAACTTTAATCTTATTCATGCGCACGTGCCAGGTAGAACACCTGTTGACGGTTTCGCTCGCTATCCGTGCGCCGTAGAGCAAGTGAATATAAACTTAATGAGAATGCATTCTTGTACCACCGAGGCCAGCCTTTCTAGCACGCTGCAGGGACCGACTCAACCGAGTACGAAGACGAGGGGTCAAGCGTTACTTTCACCGACCAGCTCGGCGCTGCTTGGTCGAACAGCATTCGCCGAGACCAATTCGTCGAGCACAACACGCCGAGCAGTGCCCATCGAAGGGTTTAGTCAACCACTAATGTGCATTAGCAATGCACGTCGGCGTCGTCGACTGGATCCCGTCCAGCAGAGCCTGCGACAGCATTTTTGTCGTCGACCGTCCCATCGTCGACATAAAACAAAGTGTTGTCGAAGAGAGTTTGAAAACCAATCACTGCCATAGGTGAACTACCAACCTTTGAGAAAACTAGAACGAGAATGAATGCACTATGAAAGAGTTGGGTACAAGTACTAACCCTAATTGGGTTGTACCCCATATGGGCTACCCCACTACACCCTACACAAAACCATAAGCTATAATGTTCTGACACACCCCCATAGGCAAAGTGGGGGAGTACAAGGGGTCACAAGACCAGTCAAGCAAAGCAAAGGAAAGCAAGCTCAAGTTGGATCACAAAGTCACCACACATTCCAAGCACAAGGTCAAGGCCACAAGGCCAGTTCACATGCAGGATACATATATATATAAAAGGCTAGACAAGCAAGAGTAGGTGTATATATATATGTAACATTACAAGCAAGGTCAAGAGGTGAGCAAGTGAGGCAAGGCAGGCACAAGACCCAGCTCAGTACAAAAGCGGTGATGATCACAAGGCGCAAGCGCCTTGGTGAAGATATCAGCAGTGTTGGCCTCAGAGGCGACGTACGCAAGGCGCAGCTGACCACGCTGCTGCAGCTCACGAGCAAGAAAGTAGCGAAGAGCAATGTGCTTCGTTCTGTGCTCCACTCTCTGCTCCCAACACAAAGCCAGCATGGCCTTGTTGTCTACGTACAGCACTGGAGGAGAACGAGGCGGCTCTCCTAGGTCACTCAGCAGGTAGGTGAGCCAGCGCAGCTCCTCTGGAGCCATGGCCCCTGCGTAGATCTCAGCCTCACAACTGGAGCCAAGAACAGAAGACGAGCGGGTAGCCCGCCACGAAATAGAGCCGGAACCAAGGCTGAAGGTGTAACCCTGTGACGACCGCTGCGTAGCCTGGTCGTCAGCCCAAGAAGCGTCTGCGTGCCCAGTGAGGACCACTGGACTCTGCCCTCCAAGCACAAGCCCCATGCCCGACGTACTGCACAAGTAGCACAACACCCTCTTCGCTGCAGCCATGTGCTCCGATCTGTGTCTCCCAGGAGCAACATAGCGTGCGAGAATGCTAAGAGGGTATGCAAGGTCAGGTCGAGTGTAGGTCATCAGGTACATGAGGCAGCCAACAAGCTCTGGGTACGAGCTACTCGAATCTACAGACTCATCCGAAGGCAGAGCTGAGAGCGAATGGCGAGTACACAGAGGAGTGGCCTGAGGCGACGAGTACGTGAAGCTG